TAACACTGTGCAGACTGCAAATTCTACTGCAACATTCTGCTGCAGTATAATTCACTATTTGATATAACACTAACATTCCTGACAATAGTCATCTTTTATGGTGTACATGCCTTTTTAATAACATGTTTGAATGGAACATTCATAAATCAAAATAAATATAACTTAAATATACATGATCGCTTAAATTCAAATAAAGTGAACATTAACACCAATATTATCATTTATAAAATGCTATAACAAAAAAATAACATAAGCAGTAGATTTTTTAATTAAATATAAATACCAACTACAAAATAAGCGGGTATTACAGTGTAAATGGACAACAAAACGGAAATGGAAGTGAAAAGGCCTGATGGTGGTGCTAAATCAGAGCCTATTACTGTTCTCAGTTTTTTTCTCATCATGCATCTTGTGTGTAGTGATCCAATATCGTTACCATAGCCTTGCCCTTTAACAGTTATTACGAGGCCTTGCTCAGCCTTACTCACCAAGAGCCCAGCGCCTAGCCTTCTTACAGGCAAAGTCACTGATAAAGTCCTTGAAGTCCAGCTTTCTAGCCAACTGGCTTTCAATGGACAGCATGGCAAGACTGCAAAGCCTTATGGGGGGACAGGGCTGCTGAGCCTAGAGATGGATATGTTGGTCCTGGCAGCAGGGGGAGGGAAAACTGATTTAGTATGAATAGCTGCTAAAAATGTACCTGCATTTATTAAATGTCAGCTAAAAGAGCAGTGAAATGAAAAACCTCTGAATTTTCTGTGAACATATTAACAGTACTTAAAGGTGGGGTAGGTCATTTTGGAGAAACCAGCTCGAGTGCAGTAGAATTTAAAAATATACAAGGTCATGTATATTAAGTTATAACATTTTTGAATGGAACATTCAAAAATGTTATTAAAAAGGCATGTACACCATAAAAGGTGACTATTGAGATCTATTGTCAGGCATGTTAGTGTTATATGAAATAGTGAATGCTACTGCAGCAGAATGTTGCAGCAGAATGTTGCACGTCTGCACAGTGTTATATTTTCACCGCTCAGTGTAAGTAAATATTGTGCAGTTAGTATTGGACTACAAGATAGATGCAAGCCTGTACAGGTAGAGTTATTTAAAGCATAAATGAGTCGGTTGGGTTCTGGAGGTGTGGTTACAGCAATTGTGCTTGGTTGGTGTGGCCTGTGCATGGTGGTGGGGCCCAATGTGATATCTTTTCATGGGGCCCAAAATTCTTGGCGGCGCCCCTGGCTGTAAGTACTCGTGCCGCGAAAAAAGTAGTTGTTTGTGAAGAGGAGACGAGATAGAGAGCAGCGTATAGCGATTAAAATCAGTAAAACGGAAAGAAAATGAATGAAGTTAACCATTTACTTCAGCTTTGGTAAGTTCATTTTATATTATCTTTTGTTGATCTTCTGTGTTATGCCTAAACTTTTCATTTAGAAATGCGCGTTCCCGTGACACGTGGTGCATTTCACGGTGGGGGTGCATAATTTGACACAACACCAGAAACCCAGAGTTTTCCTTGGAGTTAATTCGCTAAGCGAAAATTCGGCTCCGTAGTACAGGCCTCAGGCATTGGTACTTTTGGCATTATTGGCAGGTGCCAAGTCCTGCTGAAAAATGAAATCAGCATCTCCATGAAGATATATTTAAACTATACTATGTTGATTTTTAAATGTTTTCGAAATCCTGTACTATGTCTTTTTTTATTTTTTTTCATGTTTTCAACATTAGATACAAAAAAATGACATCAAATATCAAAAGTCTCAAAAAAGACTGTTTCTTTAACGTGTTTTTGGTGCCTGAAATAAAGTTTGCGGTTAACACAAACTAATACGACATAAAACAAATCAGTGAATGTCCAAATCTTCTGTGTGACTAAAGAGAATACTGAACGTCATCAAGTTGAATGTTAGCCGCCTTTGCAGCTGGCATGCAGTTCTATTAGCCCAAGTTAGCTTTTTACTTCTGGGACTTGAATTTAAGCTTCAAAAATCATAAAAGTGGTTGATTACCATCCTTGAAAAAAGATGCAAGTAGAATCTTATGGAATAATCCCATTTATATTGGGAGCTCTTGCAATGCTCATTTGCAAACAAAAATGTGTCATCAATTCTCTAATCTTTTGATTGATTGGACTTTGCTCTGGAGACGAATCAGTTGTAATCATGTGACTTGTAAAACATTGGTCATATTTCATTTATAAAATAACAAATTATTTGAGTGGATTCAGTGTCTGAGCGTTACTGTAGTTGTGGAATAATGATTCAAGACAAGACTCCAGGTCACAGTTTGGAACTGACCATTTATTAAACTGAATAGCATATGCGTACAAAGTCTCTACAAAGCTAGAAAATATCTAACATACTTTTAGCCATGACGGCGAAAAAAAGTTACAAAGCAAAGATCAGACCCTGTGCAGTACCAATAGAAATAAATTACTAGCTTTTGGATGTGTACTGTCTTCTTCGCAAAATGGGATAAACATTAGAATATCAAAGATATACACAACATCTGTAATAAACGTTATGGTCACCTTTATATAAAGCACCTTATCAAAAACCCTCAGTGCAAATACATGTGCTGCACATGCACCAGAGCGAAAAAGATTCAAGGCCATTTTGGAATTAATTACAGACAGGATTTCTGTGCCACATTGAAAAGAAGATAAATATCCAACTTGCACATACGAGACGACATTACCAACACATATGACTATTACTCAGAAACTCAGAAATACACTGCTTTTTTATGATGTAATTAGTGCTTTCACATCCTGTAGATGCTTAATATGATTGGACATTGAACAGAAAAGCCATACAATTGGGTTAACAGAGATTGGGGGCACTATTCTTTTTAATAAATCAGTTTCCTGTGACCTTACTTATTCCGTTTGCTAACCAAGATGAAGAGAGGTGTCCATATTTAATCAAATTTAAAGTGTCTCTAAATACAAAAATGCCCTTTTCTGAACTAGGCTCAAAAAACAAAAGGTCCATTAATCCTATTTTTTTTTCATTTCTTTGTTGTTTTACTAACATCTGTTTTACAGTGTAGCCCATGAGCTAAGTATGTTAAGTGTCCTTTTCTTTGAAACTATTTTTGGCGGAAGCTAGTGGTAAGTTACTCTAGACTAGACTTTCATAAGTCCCTTATTCCTCTGTACTTTCTGTCACATGATGACTGTCTTTGGTAAGCAGGTGGTAGACAATGACCAAACAGAGGGTCGTTATTGCAAAATAAGCCCCTCTGAGGCTGTGTGTTAAGTTAGCATGTACGTGTTACGTGTTAGTACTCTGCTGTGAAGGTCTATAGTCTGCCTGCAAACAACAAACCACTGTAGTGAGGCAAAGCTCTGGGAAAGTTAAAGGAAAGGTTTTTTTTAAAGGGGTTTTCCTGACAGAATGATTCACCAGTGAGTTGAAAGGGTTGCATTTAGTTGGACAGGTGTGTGTAACCCTAAAAGACACCCACAGCAATCTTGAGACAAGATAAAGCTGTTTTGGACGATGACAGACCCTAACATTCTTCAGCACAAATGTAGAAGACTGGTTCCAGACCAGTAAGATCTGACTCAGGTATGAGTCCTTTTAAGACTGCCAACAGTTAGCCAATGTTGACCAAAGATGGCTCTTTTCAGGTCTAGTAAACTGGTCAAACTTAAGGTTTTTTTTTCTTCAAATATTGTAGACACCACTAAGCATCCTAGTGAGTACAGGAAACAGAACCATGTGATTCTTGACATAGTTTTAATCAGCATACTGTATTCTCCATGGTTGAACACAGCATGCTTGTATACATGGTTCTTCGGTATGTCGTAACCCCAATCCCAACCCTTCAGGATTTTTTAAATAACTTTACAGCCGCGATATAAAGATAAAAATAGAATTGGCATTCTCTCGTAGTAACAAGTCCAATTTGTATTTTATAAATGAGGCACCAGACAATCTGCAAGCTGTTTCAACATGAACCACCATGTAATACACAAATGCAAATACATGTAAATAGTGCCGTTAAAAGAAGCAAACAAGAACATGTCTCATTAACATTTGGGAACAATTAACATACTTTAGAAAGGCTCACTGTGAACAAATTACAACAAGAAACAGCCATTAAATATGGAATTTGGATATTTAGCCCTCAGACGCTGAAAGCTGGAGCATGATAAACGTAATTATGCATTTATATTAGCTCAAATGCCTTTCTATACACACATTTATGACCAGATTATTTTCATGAAACAGATTAGAAATGTCTACTGCTGTTCCCAACCAAAGGCACTTCATGCTGCTGGGCATGACACAAACAAACCACTTCTCATCACCTGCTACAGTACACTTAATCAACAGTTTTTGGTTTTTGATTTATAAATGACTTTAATTCTGACATACTATCATAAAACTGGAAGAAACAAGTCCTGGACTGATTAAAGGGAAATGTGTCTTCACCCACTTTCTCTCAAAATGAAAAACCATGCCATGGCTTATAGTTTGCTATGCACTCATTGGACGTGACAATGTTTGCTGTTAGCTAGCTAGCTAGCTAGCAAAGCTATCTTTTATGGTAGAAAATCCTTACACACTGGTCAATTGACCCTAAAATTAACAGAGGCTACTCTTGGACACTAGTAAAGTCTTATATTCATTAAATACCTGAAAAAACAAAGTTTAACTTTTATTTAGGGAACTGTGTCTTCAACCACTTTCCTAAAATGAAGCACTGCACCATGGCTTCCAGTCAGGGCAATTAAAATCTGTAAGACGTAAGAACATTTCAGGTTTAAACACATCTGTCAGCTCAAGTTAGCTGGTGCAAGAATACTGAACTAAGCTTATTAAACTAAGATAAATTAACTAAGTGAAACCTGATTTTTTTTAAAAGCATAGGTTATTTTTAACAGTTTGGAATGTTTCTTCCCTTGAACATTATGAAGGACGTTGTATAGTTTTAAAGAGTCACAGTGCTTCCCAATTGATTGACCACAACCTATTTAAAATGTAAAATGATGATCCTTAAGATTGTACAGAAATCTGACCCAGTTTGGTCTGCATTTGTTTTAACAATAACCATTCAATATATTAAAATGATCTTATTATTTGTCAATAGCTGCCAAAAGAGCCAGGGCTGAAAGCTTAAGGATTGTATCTTTAACATGTTTTTCTTCAATCTTAATGAAGAGTCGCTTGTTGCACAAACAGGTACCTGAATGATTAAATGTCATTTATACTTTCTTATTAACATACATTTTAGATAGTTTTCCTGGAATTAAAATATAGTCTATATGCTACTATCAATAAACAATTTCCCAAAGTTCAGAAGCTATTCTTTTTTTGTGTTTTTTTTTTAAGAAAACATACAAAAAGTTAAAAATGTTATTTTCTTTGGGAACAAACCTCTTTTATGTGCAAGAATCTAGCTCACACAATTTGCAGTGGATATATGTACAAAACCAACTCTATAGTTTACTATGTGATGCATAATGCAATAGTTATTTTATTTTCTTGTTATCGATGATACACAGGGTCTGACCTTCAGTGTCCGTCAGTATATTGGCAGATAACACACACTCTTTTGTCACAGGGAGGAGGGAATTTAATTGATTTTCCCAGGGTGGAATTTCCCAAAAGCACTTGACAGAAATAACACTTTCATTTCCATCTACAGAACAGCAAAATACAAATGTATTGGGAAAAAAAAGGGAAGAAACTAATTAGGAGGAGACATCTCTCGGTGATATCAGATTCTGAATGTTTTTGGGGAAACCACCCCGTTTTGAAGTGATTCATTGTGCTTTTTTAATAATCAATGTATTTTTTTTTACAGCTAATTACCATCTGATATAGAGGTTGGAGTGAATATTGTTGTGTTGAAATGGAGGATCCTGAAGCAAACTGCTTTATAGCTGATTTTAATAATACAAAAAATAACCAATTATTATTGTGATGTTTTGCAGTAAAATGAAGCCACTTCCGTTCTCACTAGGTCGAGTAGTTTGGTTGAAAGACACTTTTGTAGAATTCAGTTTTTTGACATTTTACCTCCAATGTCACCATTAATCACCAAGCAAAAGGCCTTAAGTGTGTGTGTTTGATAAGTGTGTGTGTGTGTTAGTCCTTGACGAGTCGATAGATGTGGTGCTGAGCTCCGTGCTCACTGTTAGACACCTCAAATACACACGCCATACACAGCAAGGTCTCCTGAGTGTCTCTGTTGCTCACAACCTGGACACACAGACAAACAGAGAGGGGAAAGAATATTAAACTTTTTTAAATATGCATTTATAGGTTGCATACAGTAAAAAAGCAACAACAACATATAAACTTTAATTATTCACTCGATATACTTAATATGCGCCATATAACGTTCATAGACAGACATGCTGTGTCCCTATTTTAAAGACTTCCCTTAATACATTGCATGTCTTACAGTGGTGTGTTTATTAAATAGGCTATGATAAGACACACATGTATAACTTTGATTTTTATAATGCTGGTCGCGCAACTTCCGTTGTTAAGCTAATATGTAATCGTTGAGTATCATAAACTAAGGATACAGTGTTCCACGCGTACACTTCTAACAACAATATCCAGTTGCTCAGAGTGCATTGCATTTGGCCATACTTTGCATTAGGATGCACTTCAAATAGCAAATTGAGACTGACAGAAGTCCTCACCAGCAGAATAGTAAAGTTCTCCAGCACGCTGTTCATCATGTATTTCTCAGGAAGGTGTTTGAGCTTGTGGATGAAGTTGATCATGTATTCACACATCGGAGAGCGGCTGATTCTGTAAATGAAGCGGCCATTTTCAAACCGTGCGTACTCCGTCTAAGAGAGAAAGAAAGAAATTAGATAGTTAAGAAGAAGTACACCATTTTGTACACATATGAATAGGTTTACTAGTTATTAGCCAATCCTGTAAGAAAATCAATTATAATGTCTCATGTGGCTGTGGAATACTGTGTCACCTCACACAGTAATAGTAATGATGTCATAAAGGTTTATTTAATGTCATTAGGATTTATCATTAGAAATTTGAACTGAAAGGCTGTGGTACAAAGTTGTTAAATATTTTTTATTTACCAGGGAGAAAGCTGCTATTCGGGATCTTATAACGTTTTTGGAGTGCGTCATGCCATGTTTATCACAACTCTGTGCACTTGTTTCCTGAAATATCTCAATACCAAAAGGCATGTTGTTTATGCATCTGTAAGTCTGAAACAATCTCATACAGTATTTCTAAATACTTTTCACCCCTCTGACCACAATCATTTGAATTCCTCCTCACCTCAACCTTCTCGACCACCTGCTTGCCGAAGGAGCAGACCTTGGTGGAGCAGGTGATGGTCATGTTCTCCGAGCTCTCGTATTGGCTGGTGACTCCATAGAACGCTGCCGGGTCGTCCTGCACATTAGAACTCAGGTCCGCCTGACAACAACACAGAAATAAATGTTAAAAAGTACACCATTAACGACAGTGTAACATGTCAACGTTTATTACCAAACAGTCTAATCAATCCACAGAAACATGAGAGCAAAGTAGAACCAAGTGCCCTCTATACTGTTCTAAAACCTGGGCCCACACTCATATTTCTCATGCTATACATTGTCAATTTAAAATCAGATATAATATGCATTTACTTTTCTTTTTTTAAACTATTTTCACCTGAAATATTTTAAAGGTTGGTTCATCCAAATCTAAATATTACAGATACACTAGTAGTGAGATCAGATATGCATATATGATTGTATTTGTCCAGGTTCTGAGGGAGCTGATGTGATTTCTGCTTCCACCTTGAGTACCTTTGAGGGAACTTTAGGATTTTTGCCATTTAAATGCAAAAAAAACTATATTAATGACTGTTTTTAAATGCCATTTTATAATGAGTTTCTGCTGCACTATTTCTTAATGCCGTTAATGTTTATCGTTTTTGTAGTACTTTGAATTGCCTTGTGTTGAAAGGTGCTGTATAAATAAACTTGCCTTGCACGGCTATAAAACACTACAGGAAAGGGAACACCACAACATTTCAAAATAAGGCCCCCTATGGAACCTTTGCAATTATTCACTGTACTGGAAGATGCAACAGGGTAGAAATGGTTCCCGTTGAACTATGTGTCATTTAAAATGTTCAATCATTGAGAACATGTTGCACCTGGATTACAGGCTGAGAGACATGGAGAAGGGTTTGTACCGTTTGTAATGAGTTCTATAAGGAGCAACATGTGTCTCAGGGCTGAGAATAAACACACACTCCATATACTAAGTCAAGCCCTTGCACATCCATTCACTCATACTCACACACACCAACATATATGCTCAATAAAGCAGCTGCATATTATCAGAAAACATGCTCCATTGTGGTAGATCAGAGAGCTTTTTAATTAAATTCAGAGACACACACACACACACACACACACACACACACACACACACACACACACACACACACACACACACACACACACACACACACACACACACACACACACACACTCTCTCTTTGTTTGTTGTCATGCTACAAGCACGTCTCATCTCTTCTTCATCGTATAGTGAACCCACTTCACTGGCCTGCAGGCTTCTATCCTCCCCTGCATGATTTTACTGCTGACAACCTCACAGCTTCATTCACACTGTCCAGCGCCCTGATAATTAACCCTTTATTAAACCCCGCCCCCAAAAGGGATCGTCCAATAATAGCTTAGCAACCGTAACTAGCTACAGCAAGCCTGTCAAGCTTTGGATTTCTGCACTAAAGCGGTATGCATGGGGCTTTAGCAAAAGGTGATATCCTTCAAAGACTCTGTGGTGTCGTCTTATCTAAGCAAAAACACACGTGTAAAGGTGAAAGGAATTTGTTCAAATCATGCATTTGTCTGCTGCAACGTGAGCTACAATAAAATGAGTCAGCATTTGATTATTTCTGAGCATTTTTGTTCAACCCTTTTTTATTAGTTTTTGGTTTGATGCCTGAAATAAAATCTGTGGTTAATAGAAGCTAAACAGATTTTCACATTTTGTTATACAAGAAAGGGATATGTCAGTAAAAAGCTAAATAAATACTATTACGAAGTGTCTATGTGTCTTTAAAAAGGCGGTTGCTAACAAGTGATTGAAGGAGACTACTACCCGTCATCCCGCTGAACGTTAGCCGCCTTTAGCTAAGCGCTGGGGACGTGAAGCCTTTAGAGTAGTTTGTTTATAGCCTTACATTCACATTAGCTATTTACTTCTGATGATTGCATTCATGCGACTAAAGTATTGTCCCCAGTTAGCCCAATATTACAGAAATCTGTTTTCATGGAGCGTAGAAGAAAGGGTAATAATTTCCATTGCATAAATGTATTTCATAATGAAATAAAGAGTGTTTTCAGTTCTCTTCTTTTTTCAAACAAATATATACATTTTTAAAAAGTCATTTTTGGTAGTAGTAGTAGTAGTAGGCCTAGCTAAAGTACACTTCAATTAAATCTAAATATCCATTACTCTCTCTATGACCATATTTATTTAATTTAAAAAGAATAATATCGCAGTTTCAAAAGATCTGGTAATAATTGGCAAAATTGGCATTTAATAAAAAACCCTTTGATTTCCTCTGAAAAATATATTTTTGTCTGATACCAGGAAGCAGTTATTTAAAAATAACTGTTTATTTTATTTGTAAATCTACCTCTACTTTCACTGTATAATCCAAAAGATCGAAAACATGGACGAAATGTGAGACATACAAAATAGTTCCTTGAGGTAGGAAGTCTCAGACCTACCAGACAGGCAGATCATAATCAATTCTGTCTTTCAACGGAAAAAGTTATAAAGTCTTTAGAGACTACTTGATTTGTTCGAGTTTCATAAAATGTGAATATTACTTTATATAATAATATTACATTATTTGTGAATAGACAAACATGGGATGAATTCTGTTGCAGGGATATTTTCTAAAGTCCTTGACTCGTAAGGGAGAGACAGATAAAGACACGCACGTACGCACGCGCGCACACACACACACAAACACACACACAGGTGGAGAGAGAGAGCTACCTGTGAGTCAGGAGGTGAGCAGGTGTTCAAACAAAGCGACTGTGCTTTCATCAACCCACCACCTCCATATCCCAGGTGGGAGGACAGAACAAATACACACACGGCACCCACAAATACAAACTGCACACACACACACACACACACACACACACACACACACACACACACACACACACACACACACACACACACACACACACACACACACACACACAGAGATAAAGTCTCTGCCAATGTCTCTGAGGCCTCAATGATGTCAAATGAATATAAAATGGGATTGAAATGAAAGAAAACTCTTGCATGAACAGGAAGTAGGTAAGTGTTTGTCTGCTCACCCAGAACTTGATCAGGTAGAAAGCGTTTTGCGGGCCCTTGGCGAACAGCTCTTTCAGGCCCCCTTTCTTCTCGGGGAACTTGTCGTAGATCTGTCTGATGTCCACACACTCCAGCATGGGGTCGCTGTAACTCGGGTTGTTCTGGCTGATGTTCACAAACAGGTGCTTGTTATACTGGGGGGAGGATAACTTTGAATTAGCCAAGGATTGAGGCGGAAAATGGGTTGATAAAAAACAGCTGATCTCAATATGGGACAGAAAGCCGCAAAAGAAAGACAGAAACAACATAGTATTTTGTGTAGAATGGGCTTCATTTGGATAAATGTGTCAATCCATTTTATTTGAACAAAAAGCCCTTAATTCATGAGATTTGACAGTCTTAAACAGATATTTCCCATGCATTATGGGGAACATGCGCCTCTAAATCCATATCATCTTAATTTTGGGATTAGACTCTAATTATGTATGCAGACACGCTATTCAAATTGCATTGTATACTGTGCGCCTAACGATATTACAGAAAACAAAACAAAAATAAAAAAAAAATTTTAAAAGATTATTGAGAAACTGATGTCCATTTTGTCATAGGAGAGATTATCTACTCCTGCTAGATTTTTTTGTGTGTGGGTGTGGTTTTATTTCTGTTTCTTTAATAGGTTTTGTCTTAAATGTAGGACTGTGTTGTATCGTCTTATGATTGTTGAGGAAAAAAAAGTTAGCGGGAGTCAACGGGAGACAGGTCTACATAGCTGTCCCTCCCCACATCTCACAAATGAAAGGTGTCCCATGGAGCTTTGACAATCACAAGCATACATGGTGAAACTGAAACAGATTCCTGCATAAAAAAGTAATGCACCGAGATAGCAAGGAAGAAGACAGCTGATTTGCAAACATTGATGTAAGCAATGTAAATCAAAAATATTATATATAATATAATGGTGTGAGAAACAGTGAATGTTTCCATAACTGTAGGTTTACAAGAAACCTCTACAAAGAAACTTAAACTAGGGAGCAAAATGTAGACTAAGGTTTAAAGCACACCTATGTATTACTTTCATGATAAAAAATACAATTTAAAATAGTTCCATTTTAAAGAGCAACAGGCCACAGTTCAAACTTGGATGACTAGACGTTTAAAGTCAAATAAAATCGTACCATTATAATGTATTACTTAAGCTTCTTACAAGCAACAAGCTACTTCATTATACCACTGCCAAAGAGACTGTTTGGCACAGTTTGTTTGTGAGCAGGAATAGTGAAAAACTATTGGCTGTTTTGATATTAAATGTTGAAGGGTCTAGCACAGACCAAGGAAGGACCTACTCAATTTAAAAGCGGATCCTAAAAATGTTGTGAATACACAAGTTATGTTTCACTGACAATAATATTAGGAGATTCATGGGGACCAAGTGACTGTCACTGTATCCTAGCGCCGCCATATTTGTGTCAGTCGCAGCTTGTAATAACATCAGCAAAGACGGAGCAAGATCCAAGAAAAGTTCATTACAATCGGTAAATGTTCATAAAAATAATCACAGGATATTAGGGAGTTATCGCTGAACGAATGGTTGGACATTTGTGCTGCATTCATGTGGTGTAGGATTAATAACTGAATGGTCGTTCCTGACCAAGAAAATGCAGGTAAACTCAATAAACAATAAATTCAGAAAACAGCAAGTTAACGCCTTAACACTCTAGTGTGGTTTTGAACTAGAATGTTATGTGTTGCGTCCATGTACGACATCAGGATTTAAAGCTCTTAAACACGCAAAAAGTAAGAAGAACAACTTCCCAACTCTGGAAATGGGGCCATCCGAGGACCATTTGAAGGCATCATTGGCCTTTGTGGAGTTCTGTGCTCTCTGTGCTCATCTTTATCTTTGTATATCATAAATGCTATATAAATTGTATTGCCAAATGCCTCTTTATTTACAATGTAAAATATCCATGAAACATGACCCCTATTGGCAACAGAGTCTATTTTTAAAGTCAACATAGAACCGTTTGAGGTTTGTAACTGTCCAAACAGTTGTAACAAGATGAATGCCAGCTGTCTGTGAGCCCAAGGTAGAATAATGACAGCGAGTCCACAGTGTGACAGGATGACGGATAGAGTGAGCAGACACAGAGATAGAGCTTTACAAAGGTTATTCATACTAGGATACTACAAAGGGCTTTAACGCGGTTCTCTGCTGTGGGGTTATCTGTCATCTCTGTTTATGGGACAATAGGGAGAGCTTATTGTAGACCGTGGGTGTGTGTGCATGTGTGTGTGTTGTACTCACTGCCTCCTGGTCCCTCTGTGTCTCCAGGAAAGATGAAAACTCTACCAGACGCAGTTTGGTGGTGCCGATGGAGCGACCATGCCACGCTGGCTCTCTGTGTGTTTGGGCTGCAGCAGGAGGCTCGTAGCCTAGACAACACACACACACACACACACACACACACACACACACACACACACACACACACACACACACACACACACACACACACACACACACACACACACACACACACACACACACACACAACACACATAACACACAGTCTGGTTAAAAGCACTTCATCACCACCATCATGTACAATCATGCCATTTAACAGGGTTATTCAAGCATTATTATTTGCTTCAATCGTGTAAAATGTAAGCCTGACTGAGGTGAAGGACTGAAAGGCAGTTAACAAAAGTAGATGTAAAAGGTAAGGTGACCAGATTTTTGAGTAAAATTTACAACTCTGTGACCTCAATGAGTTGTTAAAAATGTTTGGGGAAATATCAGCAATTAAGGGGAGTCAAGTAAAATGTTGCTTTAAGATGTAGCTTTTGCTGAACCACAGTGTAGTTTGTCACATGGCTGGATTAGCCTTAGGGGGGAAAAGGGGCAGTTTGCGCAATATGAGCCAATCTAAACTCCCTGAAAAAGCCCTAAACTAAACAAAATCAAACTTAAATTGTAATTCTCCTCACTTTTGTTTGAGATTTTTTAACTGCTTCGATACTAAAGCTGTTTTTTGTTGTTGTTAAAACACTAACCCAAAAGCTAGAGGGATACAGTTTGTAGGGAGTGGTTCACTTGCTTTCAGACACAATCATCTGACCCTCTCTGGTGTTATATACAAGCTGTAAAACTCTTCAGCCTTTGAACATTTTTTATATAAGACATTTTTGTATTTCCCAGAGAGCACTGGCTATTAACTTAAAACTGTAAGCAGTTTGTCTATGAAAAACATTCATCATCACTGTTATTAGTTGAGGCTACAAAGGTATGCTAACAATATTCATTGCGTAGTGTAAAAGCTAGTTAGCCTGTTATTTTCCCGTTAGAATACCTAGCTAGTTTAGCTTGCTAACAGTTTCCCACTACAATTAGCTTACTATTTCAGACTAGTCTGCACACATCTTCTTGCTAGAATTATCCAACTGATTTAGACTAGCCTGCTAAAGTTTTTCTTCTAGAAATAGCTAACTTGTTAAGACTAGCCTGCTCAGATTTTTCCTACTAGGTGTTAAATGTTTTTTATCTTATATCAACGCACGCTGAGTCATTAGCGGCTCCTGCACAATGGTCCTCCTAAATAACAGAAGTAAGGGGGATATTCTCCCTAAAGGGTCAAGTTGTAGTCAATTCTAGCACTCCGTATATCACTAGGTAATTTATGGAGTCATGGTACGAAGTTCTTAATTATATATGGGAAAAAATCAATACCTATCCCAGTGCTTGTTGCCTGTGTTGCATTGTAGTGAAATGATAGGCATATAAACAAATGACAGCATATTAAAGTACCACCATTTCAAACCAAACCAACCTTTCACAATAATGTCGGGGTGCTTTAACAAAACAAAAAATGTCTTGTTTAAAAAATTGTAAAAGTAAAGCCAAGGATATACAGTATATGTTTATTCCTTATGGAAAATGTATGTTAATTTTAAGTTCCAATCTCTGTAACATACAGTACATTTTGACAAAACCTATAACTATAATCAGCAATTGCAGGAAGTTTTCTGGATCTCAATTCCCAGAAAAGTAAGATTGACACCTTTTTTTCGTTTGACCTCTTGTAGAGAGCACCCTGTAGAGAGCCAGGGCCCTAAATGGAGGGAAGCAGGACTGCCTGTTTGCTTTACAGAAAGGATATAATTGCACAGTGGTTTCTCTCACCTGAGATTGTGGTGATCCCCGCTGTCTGCACAGAGTAGGCTTGCTGAGAGAATGGCTTAATACTGAGAGAGTCAAAGACAGACATGAGAAAGAAGAAGAGACAGCATTGTAGGTCATTCACGTATCTAGATTATACAGCAAGGAATTCTGTAGCAGGAGCACAGAAGTCAAGAGTGTCTCTTGGTTCAGTCAAAGCTATACAAGCCCCATTTACTGTACTACCATTATCATCATCACCATCACATTTAATGGCAGCTGGCAATGAAAGGAAAAGGGTTTGAACTTCTATCACAATGGTCCCCACTAGTCACTAGCCGTGTGAACATACACTAATGTAAGAAATATGAAAAGCAGTATGGATGCAAAGAGACAGCCTAGTGGTGTACATTGTATAATATGTATGAATGAGTAACTAAAGGAGCAGAATGATAAAGGAGATATCTTTCAGAAAAATAAATCCATATCAAAGCTTAAAATGTATAACTACGTTAGATATGAGTGTACCAGTTGAGTTTCACTTACTCTTCAATGGCGGCGCTAGATTGTCCTCCAGGAATCATCCCCTGCCACAGCTAAGAAAAACAACACACATGAATACACACGACCAAGGCAGCAAACCTGGACAATGTGTGTTTGTTGTTAGATTTGCACCGGGACTTCAAACAGAGCATATGTGGCCATTCACAAAAAATGGTTTTACAGTTATTGATGTCCTTGTGTTTTCTGTATCTATTGAAGAGAATACAAACAGTGTTTGTGTGTGTGTGTGTGTGTGTGTGTGTGTGTGTGTGTGTGTGTGTGCGTGCGTGCGTGCGTGCGTGCGTGCGTGTGTTACCTGTGCGTTGCTGGGGAAGCTGGCCCGTACGATCCCAGGCAGGAGCTTGCTGTGTATGGCGGTGGCTGAGACGATCTGAGCCGAAGACATAGAGGAGATGCTCTGCAGCGCTTTCTCCTTGGCATTCTGGTCCTGCGTGGTGATTGACATCATCAGCATCAATATTATCATCATTATCATCATCATGAAGATAGTTTACATTCTGAACCCACACACTACACACCCAACCACAACAACTTCTGTCAACCAGTGCAACAGTAAATCTCATTTATATATTTGTAATACCTTTTGGACAACAGTGGAATATCTTTTCGGTTTCGGAAATATGTGTTGGACAAAATCAGCAACTTTAAAATCTAAGCTATAGCCCTGGGAATTATTGTGTATATATATTTATATTATATATATATATATATATTTCACATGTTTCTTTTTGTATTAATTTATAGTCCAATATTAAAGTGTTATATTTGTATTTAGTGCCTCTTCTGTGACATGCCTCCATGCTTCAATGTTCAAAAAGCTCTTTATTTTTCTCATACTGCCTGTGCTGCAGCACCTCTTTTCACCCTCGGTCTGAAACCAGAGCCCAGTCTGCTCTGATTGGTTAGCTGGCCGGCTCTGTTATGAATATGATATGGCGTTCCACTAAACTTGAAGAATCTCGTTTAATTTGGCATATTACTCTCAATGAATATAAGAAAGCACTGCGTAAAGCGATAGNTTCAGAATCATACAAGTATCTGAGCACCCTCATAATAACGTAATACTATCAGAGACTGGATATATCCCCCCCCCCTCTCTGGTCACTACAATGAGGAAAATTTCCTCATTGTAGTGACCAGAGAGGGGGGGGGGATATATCCAGTCTCTGATAGTATTACGTTATTATGAGGGTGCTCAGATACTTGTATGATTCTGAAATTGTATATATAAATATATGTGTGTGTGTGTGTGTGTCCGCATCTGTAACCTGTTGTCTCATTATACCGCACTGTCAATGAATGAAAAGTAAATATATAAGTCGTCATGAACACATCTGTCCATCAGACAGAGGGCTGATGTGCCTCCTGTCATCATTAATGGACGTCTCTTTAAAATGACTGCTCAGAGGAGAGGAGTTCTCATTTCTCTAACCGCCTGCTGCTTCCCTTCCTCTCTCCTCGGTTCCCCTCCTCAGTCCTCCGCTCGCATCTCCTGTGGGCGGGACTAAGACACGAGGAGGGGGGTCGAGGAGGGGAGTCAGAGAAATGAGAAAGGGCCCATGTCATTTTTTTTATCATATGTTCGACATTTTATGTAGCTTTTTTTCTTATTTTCAAAATACTATATACCATGTCGTTTTTTTTATCATATTTTCGACATACTACGTTGTATAGTATTAAAAAGGAAAACAGGTATTGAGGAACATGAAAGTAGTACTTAAATAAATGATGTAATAGAGTGAGTTGGCTAATCTAAACAGGTGAGTTTTGAGGTGGGATTTGAATGATCTGATTGTGTCTGATGTGTGGGGGGAGTGAGATGCACAGTCTGGGAGCAGTACAGCTATAAGGTATAATACATCCTTTGTTCTGATCCCTTCAACATAGCCTACTATATTATGACATTTTCTGACATAGCCTACTCATAATATGTTGTTGTTTGTTGTGATACAGAAAGCTATATACAGACCTTTTGGATTGTTAGTTTCCTCTTCCACTCCTGCTTACAAATCATATGTGTTGAAATGTATAGTTTACAGCGATTGACAAAGGTATTGCTGAATTATTTGCTTTATTTATACAATGCTTCTTTGTGAACGTATAATTCAAATTATGTTTTATTTGAACACCAGAGGGAGCCATTCTCCAAGAATTCAACAAACAGTTGTACAAAAGCTCTTTATTTATTCTCATTGTATAATAAATATAAAGTATCACATATATGTACACATTTGCAACAAAAAATATAAATCGTTAACATATATTATTATATATTTATTGATTAATGCAAGTATTACTGCATATGTGTGTATATTTATGATATCGCTGTAGCATATCACAAATGGGCAAAAAATCTACCAACCAAGAATAACATAAATTAGTCACACTCGTGGTCGCATTTATAGAGTGGTCAGCAGTTCACCACTTCCTGTTCCCTCGTCTTAAAGTCAAGGGTTTTTTTAACGTGTTTTTGGCTAAATTCCTGAAATAAGGTCTGTTTGTAACTCAAGCTGTAGAGATTTTTACGTTTTGTTCTACAACATAAAATAAGTCAGTTGATACAGCACTAGTGAGCGTCTAAAGCGAGACGTCTAAACATCATCACACTAAACATTAGCCGCCTTTAGCTTAGCGGTGGTGATATGGACCCATCATAAAAGTGGTGTGAATATGTGGAGATTATCCAGCTAAAGAAACCTGTTTGTATCATAAACTTGTGTTTCCCACAGATCTTAATTGCAATTTTCCATTTCTTTAGGGAGCCCTTGCTGTACTAACTTCCGGTTCGGCCTTCTAAAAGACGTCATCACTGCACCATTCTATTGCGATAACACTAAAAGCATGAAACCATTGACAGCCAATAATAAGTCTACAGGTCAGAAAGACGTGATGACTCATAGGAAATGAGACCAAAGATTAGAAAAGCCTTCTGTTATCTCCCAGACGCAGCCCTGACAATCCTCTTTATCCAGATCCACTGTGTTTGTTATGTATGCTGTGGTGACTAATACTGTGTATTAGTGTACGTGCTCTCACACACACATGCATTAGTGTGTGTTCCCAGATGTTTTCTAAGCAGTTATTTTACCAACAAACCTGGCCTGGTGCATCACTCGGAGCAAAGGTCAGAGCAGACTAATGGCGGGATAAACACTGGCTTTCAGTGTAATACTCACAAACACCAAAACGCTCTTACTGCAGATAAATCCTTTCATGAGTTTCAGAGACCATATTCTGGCCTGAAATAGTTGAAAGAGCAGATTATGGGGGCAGACAGTATATTATAACCCTGCAGGGTGTAACAGATGGATTTATTTCCGCTTTGTGATCAATCCAGCTGAGTTTTATATCGTACTGAGACATTCATCCGTGTGTGGATTGTGAAGATGAAACAGCATAACAATACATGCTGCAGTGCAACACTGCTGAGTAAGACTTTCATCTGCTACTTCTTGGCTTGCAATCTGGACTCATTAGTTCTACTTTGTGCCAGGTATTATAAAAAGACCTTCACAATACATCCGCACTGCTGCAACAACACAATGTGTGCTCAATTCTGTAAAAAGATGGAAACTGAGGATGTTAGATTTGTAAACAATCAGACATACATTTATTTTATAAACACAGAAATGTGTTTAGAAAGGTGGGTTATAGGGTTAAGGTTGGCGGCCCATATGCTGTGTTCACTGTCAAGTACATGGGTTCAACTCCCGAGCCTGCGAAGAAATGCCAGGCAATGTCATCCCCCCTTTCAACACTGCATCTCCAATAAAGGCACTGTCTGGCCCTAAACATATCACTCTTTACCCCTGACCAAAGTATGTTTTGTACACAAAGGTGGAACAATTAGTGAGATTTCTTTCTTTACTTTCAAATAAACCTATTTTGCTAATCAGCTTTTTGCTATGAGCGATGAATGAAAACAAAATTTTCTGCGAGTTACAACAGAAGAAAATGAAAGAATTGTCTATTTTTTCACTAACTTAAAAAAATGCACATCATTTGAATTTCCTGTGTTGCCTGCAAGCTAAATCTGATACATATTTAATTTAAAAGAGAAACAATGACGATCTTAAATAAAGTTTTAAGGTGATTTAATTAGTAACGCAAAAATGCTTACTTACTTTATTACTATAAAATGCAAATAAAAGTATATTATTATCGATATTATATAAATATATATAAACATATTGCAGGTAGAATTTATCTTAACTTTTCTACTATGACAATTTACGTATATGAAATCATAATTGTTGACCTTTTTTTGGTTTCCCCTTTGCTGTATTGTGTTAAATAGATTTTGTGTTCCCTCCAGAGGGTGTTTCTCTCCCACAACCTGTTGTAAATGTAATGTAATACTGACCTTTAACCTCTAACAAACAGCAGGCTACTGTCCTGCATGTCTAAGTGATCAGTGTGTGAATGGCAGAGATTAGCAAACAGTTGGATTTGGGATTACTGATCAGATTAACGTGCACTTTCACAGTCTTTTATTATAACACTGACATTGAAGTCAACAAAGACTCTATTTCTATATTTATCTATCTATTTTATTACTATATCAGTCCAGGTTTTCTCTGTGTTGCAATGTACAATAGTGGAAAATAACTAAATAAATGTACTCAAGTAGTGTACCACAGCTGGCATTTTCCATACTATATACTGCACCTAACCTATCATATAGTATATCAATGATTATTTATGAGCTGATTTATATTTCTTGCTTATAATTTGAATTGATAAAGTCCCTGAAGCTGTCAGAAAATTGTACTGCAGAACAAAGTACAATATTGGCTTCTGAAATAAGTAGCTAAGTAGGAATGTGAAGTAGAATAAAATGCAAATACTCAGATAAAGTGCCTGAATTGTAAATACTCTATTACACTCAAATACTAGATATAAGTATTCTTCCACCACTGGAAGAGTGTGTGTGTCCTTGTGTGTGTGCAGTGCATGTGTATGTGTGTGCAGTGCATGTGTGTGTGTGTGTGTGTGTGTGTGTGTGTGTGTGTGTGTGTGTGTGTGTGTGTGTGTGTGTGTGTGTGTGTGTGTGTGTGTGTGTGTGTGTGTGGTGCCTATCCCCTCGTGTGCCTTGGCAGTTTCTGTGAAAGAGGCAGGGGGCGTGTCCCAGGCTCAGCTCAGCTCTGCTCCGTCCCGCACACAGAGCAGTCGGTCCTGACGCACGGACGCTCCTCTCCTCTCCGGAGCCGCGCGCAGAGATCAGTCTGCCGGGGAGAGAGCCACCATGTCCCGGCAGGACATGGTAACTTCAATGTTATTTTTTTACTGAGAAAAACTCAGGACTTTTATCCGTAACAAGGTCACCTGTTCGGACTGAGCGTATTGAAGTGAGAGCTGATGCGCAGCGACGGGAGCGTTGAGGATTTCTGGATTTTGCATCAGTTTCCATACTTTTGATAGATTAATTCAAATGTGTTGAGAACTCAAAGGACTACTTTTATCTCTTTTACTTTTTGACACAAACACGAAGACTTTTGGACATTTTATTACAACTTTTTTGAGTTGGAGATGGAGCCGGAGGGGGGGAAGCTCTCAGTGTGGGTCTGCCGGGAGGAGAAGCTCGTCTCCGGGCTGACGAAGCGCACCACCTGCGCAGATGTGGTCAGAGTCCTGCTGGATGACCAGAACCTGCAGCAGGGGGCAGCGGCCGCGATGCTGTCCGGAGCCCCGCAGTCCTACTGCGTGGTGGAGAAATGGAGAGGCTTCGAGAGGATTTTACCCAACAAGACCAAAATCCTCCGGCTGTATGGCGCGTGGGGGGAAGAGCAGGAGAATGTCCGATTTGTTCTGGTGAAGAACGAGGCTTCGCTACCTAATAATGGACCCCGCAGCGCTGAGGCCCGTGTGGTCCAGAGCCGGGAGAGCGGCGGTCCGGGCGGGGGGCTGAAGGGCACCGCCAAGACCTGCTGGACCGCTGCGGCCACCGCGGCGAACCTGACCCAGGACAAGCAGAGGCGCATAGTCAGGAAGGCTTTCAGGAAGTTGGACAAGATGAACAAAAAGAAGGATCAGACTGTCCCCAAAGATAAGGGCTCGGTGGAGAAGATGGAGACGCTGGTTCACCTGGTGATCTCCCAGGACCACACCATCCGGCAGCAGGTCCAGAGGATCAAGGAGCTGGACCGGGAGATCGAGCGCTACGAGGCCAAAGTGCACTTCGACCGCATCAAGAGACATGGGGTGAACTATGTGCAGGACACATACATGGTGGACGCCTCCTCGGAGGACCCTGCCGCCTCTGACTGTAAGCGCAAAGCGGAGCGGCAGGACGCGCGGTGCACGGAGGAGGCGGTGGCGCAGTTCGAGGAGTATGCGCTGCGGTGCGAGGAGGTGGTGCGGCTGCAGGAGGAAGTGGCGGAGCGGGAGGCGCTGGTGGAGTGCATCACCGGGGAGATCCAGGAGGAGCTCAACAGGCGGTGGATGAAGCGGCGTCGGGAGGAGATAGGAGCGGAAGCGGCAAAGGACACGGACAGCCTCGCGGAGGAGATGAGCCTGGCTGCCTCTCCAGCTGTGGAGGCAGATGTGGATAGTTCGTCTGAGAATGAGTTTGTGTTGGAGGAGGAGAGGATTAAAACGCAGCTGGACACCAGCTTGTATATCGGGCTGCGGTTGAAGACAGACCTGGACTCCACCAGGGGGGACTTGGACCTGAGTTTGGCGGTCTGGGAGATCAGGGAGAGTGAACTTCTGGACCTACTGGCTAAAGTTGAGACCATGGAGATAGAGCAGGTGACTGAGGATGGTGAGGCAGAGCTGGGGCCAGTAAGTATTGAAGCTGAGCCCCCAGAGGAGAAGAGCAGCGTCTGGGTAGAGCAGGCCAGAGGTCTCTCCAAGACCTGCCACACCAACGACGAGGACTCGGACACAGGCTTGAGCTCCATGCACAGCCAGGACTCTGACAACCCCCCTGTGTGCGAATCACTGGTATAGACTTTGTGAAGCATGTTGGACTAAACTCAGGGGCAGAGAATCAGTGTTGGCTATAGAGTGGTGCAGTGATGACGTGTTTTTGTAGTCTATCCCGGAAGTTAGCATCGCAAGGGCTCCTAGAATAAAAAAGAATGGGCATTTTCCATTGGATATTGGATGGAATATTGAAGAAAATAAGATATGTGGCAAACACACATTGATGAAATGTACACGTTTTGTTCAGCAGGATAATCTCCACATATTAACACCATGTTGATAGTTGAAGTGTAAATGCAAATGGTAGAAGTAAAAAGCTAACGTTAGGCCATTTATAAACTAAGTTAAGCTAACGTTTGGCATGTTGACATTTAGTAGTTTAATTTAGCCACTTTTTTAAGACATGTAAAAGCTTCAGACTATCACCAGTGGGCTATTTACTAACTTAGTTTGTGTCGTAAAAACAAAGCATGAAAGTCTCGTAAACTTCTATCATTTTTGGAAATCTAACCAAAAACGTATTTAAAAAAAATTACTTCAAGACGAGGTAGGGCAATATTGCAAAAACGTATTTCAGGGTTTAGGACTCATTCCTGCACCACTCTATACTGGGAGATGTTTCCCAAAATGCACCTCAACACAGATCATTCTACAGCAATAATTCCTAAAAGTAGTTGCACAGTAAGCTTGGGGGGACAGCATGAGTAGAGGGGAAATACGGCCATGCTGCTCCATAGCTGACGAGGAGAGTCAACAGAGTAAGACAAATAGCCCATAGGAGTATTATAATAAACCACTGATAATCCGTAGTCTTCATCGAGAAACTTACTTCAAAGTAAACTCGACACAGAGAGTTAATAACAGCTTGCTTATGTCAGGACACTTTTTGCTGAAGCCGCTAAAAGGGTAAGTACAGGTTTCCTTTAAAAGGTCAAAAGTAACTGTAGCTTCAAGCACAGAGAAGTACTGGTAGGTCAACTCCAAAATGCTCTTTGGATCAAACAAAAGCACAATTAATTTCAGTTCACCTCAGCCTGTTCAAAACAACATTGAAATGTACAATCAATGGCAAGGTAAAGTCTTACCTAACTAATATGCTAAATTGTATCATAATTTGGGGAATGAAAACAGCAGACTTTGTGAATTGGTGTTGAAACAGTGATCCCTGTCCAGCTGGCTAAGCAGAGTAGATCGATTGATATTGATCACCGTATTAAAAGTGTCTGTCTTTAAAGCACAAAAAGTTATATTTATTTAACAATAGACATGAGTCATCTGCGACACTCTGTCCTGAACGAGTCAACTATCATAGATAGGATTATCTTTTTTTTTATCTAGCAGCTGTTTCATTGTTGTTAAAAGCAGTAGTTCTAAATCTTTTTGTCTTGTGTCCCTTTAAAATAATTCAAAATCATCTTGAAAAGTTAAGCATTTCTAGAGCTGTGAGCATTTCAAGCAAGCAAAGACTGATTTATTGATCAAGTTTGAATAATTATAGACCTAAGGAAGACACATATCTAAAAGACCGAAACATATACTTTACTTCACTTTATTGGGCAAAATTGTTTTGTGCACATTTTCTCATTCGGACCAACTAAGAAGGTCCTGAACTGTTGGGAACCACTGATTAAGGGGGAAAAAAAGTCCACAGAATATTCATAAAGATATAAGTTCAGAGCAAAAACAAATGTGCACTTTTTAAAAGATTTAGTCCAGTAATATAGTATTTTACTTCCAGGTGAGAGACTTACAAAACACAAAAAATAATGAATGAAATTCAAGCAGACATCCTAAATGTTAGTTCTTATTATGGATCGAGCTCCAAACACGCTGAAAATGCACACATACATCTGAAGTCATGGCTTTAGGTGAAAATTAGATAACTGAGGATTTAATTTATTATACAACAGCTTTCACACGCTGAGTACACCAACATTCTGAAGGTGGCGTGTTTCCCTGAAAAGCATCTTACTTAACCATAATCAAGGAGCAGACCACGTTAATACAAGGAGTTATTTCCCTAAAGGAAGGCTTACATAAATTAATCTGTAAGAAAACAAACACCAGGAATACAAATGTGAGACTGCACATTCGATCGCTACAGTTTAGTCTTATCTGTCTATTTAACAAATGTACGGAACAACCTATGGAAAGCCAAGAAGTCCAAAAACGACATAACATTTAAATTAGAAGCAGTAATTTGTCATACTTTACTTCCTTCATGAGGCATTATGATCATCAATAATGTTACCTTGTTTTATCTAAGTCAATCTGTGAGTACAAACACCTGTAAGATTACATTTTAAGATGCTTTTTGGGAGAAATTACCCCATTTAGTCAGACCAAAGCCTCTGTATCTCTGAACACTGTGTCATTAAGAAGAACTTTTTTAAGCCTCCGTTCACTTTCTACATCCTGGAAAAAGTTGCTGCGTCAGCTGGGCTTCTTTATTAACTTTTCCAGGAACTGCAACAGAAAACAACACAAAAGCTACCACAATAAATTATTTTAAGATCATCCTTCAGTTAAATCCCTCTGTATGTTTTTCCGGCTGCATTGATATGAATCGTACATGTTTGTCCAACTGTAAATGAATGAATAACATAGAAGAGACTGATGATACTGTTTCTGTGGCTTTAGCTGTTAGCTTTTGCCAAATACTAGCTCATAGCTAATTCATGTAGCTTGTTCAGGGAGAGTTTGGGCCTCTACGTACATGAAATTCAGCTAAATGGCTCCAAATCAGCAACTCTGAAGCTACAGCAGAGTGTTCAGATGCTCTGTGGCTACATCGTGACGCTAACAAAACTACACATGACTGTTAGTGTTGAAATAAAGAGTAAAACCTACGTGGCTTGTAGTGTGGCTTCATTTAGCTCACTTAGCTTGTTTCATAGCCTTATTATCTGTTAGCAGCTGAGTTAACAGAGTAACACCTCAGTTAAAGGTCACCTATTATGCAAAATCCACTTTTTCATGTATTTTCTACATAACCATGTGTCCCCTCTGTGTGAAGAGATTCTGAAAGTGTCAGAAAAAAAGATCCTCTCTCTTTTTGTCCTGATCCATTTATATAAAAACCTGTCTGAAAATGAGCTGATCAGATTTTGGCCGTGGGGAACAAAAAAATATATATGTAAAAGAGTATAATAGGGGACCTTTAAGAGATTTCCCCCCTGACATTAGTTAAATACCTTTTTTAAACAAAGTTTAGCATTCTACATGTGTTTTTGGATGATAAAATTGTGTAATGTGCCTTTAAAATGCAGTGCTTAGTGGTGAAAAGATAAGTTAAGATAAGATAAGATCCTAAGAGTGGACATAATAAGAATACAAATGATATAATTGTATGAATACAAATAGGAGTAGTCATAACCTGGAGTAGTTGAGTTGATATATATATACAATATGAGTGAAGATACCTCTATATGAAAAAAAATGTTCATGTCTATATGCATGTCAAATGTAGGCACAAACAGTTCAGGTGTTAGGTACATATAAGGGTGTGTGAAGGCGTGCGTTTCGGCACGGCGTCAATCGTTGCTCCTGTCATACCTGTCATGCATACTTGTGTTTAATTGCTGCTTCCTGATCGGTCTTGCATAAACTCCTGCATTAATTATGACAGGATGAAACAGAGATCTGGAGGTACAGAGCAACGCTTTAAAGCTTGAGTTACCATCCAGTAACACACATAATCTTCAGGTGGTGTTTTACAGGGTTAAATCAAACAAATTACAAAAATATATTTAATTTGTGTTAATCTAGGATATTCATTAAAGTTGTGTGATGTCAGTATTTTAGGTTTTTGCCAGGGCAGCCCAATTCATTGTTTTTGAATGGAAATTGAATAGTTAAATATTCAAATGGAAGGAAGCAAAGCATTTGATAAAGGTTCAATATTTATAGAAAAACATTTTGAAGGAAATATTGTGGAGCTTCAAAGATATACCAGCCTACAAATCGTATTCTATAACCGATACAATTCCTCCTTAAAAATCACATCATAATTATTCATTACATGGGCTAGTTGAATACTTGATGCTGATTGGTCAAGTTGGACATTCCAGAGGTGTTTTTTGTTGTTAACAGACCACATTACTTTTCTCCATCAGCACAACACTTTGGATTCATGATAGCTAAACTGTCACCAGAAAAGAAAAGAAAAAGAGCGCAAGAGAATAAAAGAGGTCAAGAGACAGAGCGCTGGATGTCGGAGAAATCAACAGAAGAAGACAGACAGGAAATAAACACTATAGAGAACAGCAAAAGAAGACAGAAAGTAAACAGTATTTACTTCAAACACTGTTTAAAAAAAATCATGCAGCCCTATATTTTGCAAATAGGAGAAAATGAATGGAATAACCTTAAGGTTTTAAATGTAAAACATTTGAAACAGCTGAAATTCTGAAAATGTTTGAAGTGACAGTTGAAACACGGTAACAAAAACAAATACAAATCGTAATTACAAAATAAGTGCTATAATAATTTAAAGTTTTTGTTTAAGTACATTTATTTGAAGTCTTAATTTAAGTGTTTGCACTTAAGTAAGGTGAAACAAAGTTTTGTATAAATTGTTGATAATAGCAAAGGAAATTTAAAAATATGTTATGCCATAAAAAAGTAATAGTATAGTATCTCAATGTTCAACTGTTCTCTTTATGATTGGATCTAATTAATAAAAAGTGGTGTTTTTTTAGCAAGCAGCAGCAACACAGCAAATACCTTAAATACCCAACAAATACTGATTTAAACGTATCATCAGGTAAGATGTCTTCCCTGAGGGAGCGTCTGACAGCTGCCAGCCTGCTGATCTGTCTCCTGTAAACATGTAACTTTATTATTCCCGGTGTCATCTGATACCATCCATTTCATTCCTACACTCATTGCTTTTTAAATCGGTTTAAGTTGTTGAATCCATCAGAGGCTATCTGCTGGTGAGTTCCTCTGCTCTGGATTGTTTCAAGTTAAAGAATGTTTGGCAGCTGACACCCACTTTCTCCTGTGTCTTTAGTGGCAGATCACGGTTCAGTTACAGTGTCAGGTTCATTTGATACGCTCCTTATTTTCCTCTCTGCTGTTTTTCTGTCTGTTTTACTCACCCCTCTTTCTGTCTTATCAGCCTCTACAAGCAACAAGTTCTCACATTTTGACCTTCTGGCCTTTACATGTTTTTGGGAAATAGCTTGTTTTCTTTCTTTCCAAGTTAGATATGAAGTTTCATACCACTCAAGCTGCAGTAAGGATTGCAGCCTTACTCTCTCCAAACAACTGCAAAGCTCAATAACACTTTATCGAGTTATATGATTTAAACTTTCCTAAATTCTAAGCGCAGTGGCTGTGTGCAGCCTACTTTTGTGTTGTCACTGTGATGTTGCCAGGTTTTGCCCGTTCAGAAACCAATCTAAAAACCTGTGCCACATTGGAAAACATGCACTATGGCAGTAGATGCTGCAAAAAAAAGCTGAGTACGCTGTTGTTTGTCAAGAGATTGTTCAAGCATTTAAATGTTTGAAACAACACATATTAATATTGCAATTCTGTTCATGCATGGTGGTCTCCTTTGTTCACTTCAGTCACATAGTGACATCAATAGGTAACACTTGCGCCTCTATTTGCTTACGCTCCAACACATTGTACGTGATTGCTAAAAGGCAGGACAACTCTAAGCGGTTGACCGATCACAACAGAGCCGGCTAACCAATTGGGAGGGATTGGGAGGATTTGATAGAAATTCAGATGTTTAGCTGAAGTTATCATAGTGACAATGCCGTCTATGTCTGCATTAGTGCCCGTCTCTGCGCTGGCGTCGCCGTAGTGTTTCTATGGAGAGAGCAGTGCCGTTATTCTATACTGTATCTCTCTTACTGTAATAGAAAAGGTAAATTATTCTGAAATACCCCCTAGCAATCAGGCTGTTTGACTCTCTCTCTATCTGTGTGTGTGTGTGTGTGTGTGTGTGTGTGTGTGTGTGTGTGTGTGTGTGTGTGTGTGTGTGTGTGGTTGAGATAAATAGAGACAAACAAGGATAAAGAGACAGGAAGAGAGAACGATATGGCAAGGTTACGCAACCTTGTTAGAGTATTTGTGTCTGTGTGTCTCTCTGCGTGTGTGTGTGTGTGTGTGTGTGTGTGTGTGTGTGTGTGTGTGTGTGTGTGTGTGTGTGTGTGTGTGTGTGTGTGTGTGTGTGTGTGTGTGTGTGTGTGTTGGCCCTCCTGGTGTTGTGTTTGGCAGAAACGTTGTGAGGGGGCATAAGGGCCAGTTAGCAGTAGATGCGCAAATCCTTCAATCAAAAAACAACATTTTATATAACCAGACCTGAACACACACACACTGTATGTGTGTTTGATCATCGGTTGACTCGTTTTAAGACTTATATACTTTAAAAAATAATGTGTCTTCATGCCAATGTGCTCTCTGAAATTGCCTGTTGGTTATGGCCTGGGTGGATGATTAAAAGAAACAAATCAACATTTTGATAGTTCAGATGTCTCTGGGAAAGCAGGGGGGGACGAACAACATGGTGCAAAAAAACATTCAGCTTCTTTGGCTGATAGTAGCTTAGGCTAAACAATACATTTGTTATTTTAGAAAATCTATCCACCACCCTGAAAACGGTGGTGTCACCTTCAGATTGTGGCGATCCGGTGACAAAGTCCACTGAGATGTCAGAACAGGGCCGGCTGGGAACAGGCAGCGGCTTGAGCAGAACCATTTGGGGACTGGAAGAGGTTTTATTCTGGGCACAGATGATGCAGGCGGCCACATTTTCCTTGAAATCCTTTTCCATAGATGGCCACCAGACCCGTTGCTTGATGAACTACATGATGCTTTTAACCCCCGGATGAGCAACGAGGTGTGAGCCCAATGAAAGGTCGCACAGATACAGAAACACGCAGCCTATATGGAGGGGAACCATTACGTAATGTTAGCACGTTTCACTTCTGTTTCTATTGGCCATGTTACCACTAGATTGGACAAGACATCTATCAATGTGTGTATACCTCCAGCAATGTTAAATATGTTGAAGCACTTATTTTAACTGATATTATACTTATACTCTTATAAGATGTATGTAGATAGTATTAGAAATGTGCAGAATATGACAGTTTAATGGTGGAGGTATACACACATATTGATAGGTGTCTTGTAATGCACTGTTGAGGAACCTGCGACCCAAGTTTTTCATTCATTGCATAACTACACCGTAGTTGTGTATAATATGATATGTCAATAAACCTTAGAAAATCTTGAAATCTTGAAAGGTGTGCAAAATAGTCATTATATACAGTCTCTAATTAACTATTAGTAGAGAATAACGAGTAATGAATATACTTTATAGGGACCCTATTAATATCTAATAATAAAAATAATAAAATACAATAACGTGCTTTAACCACTAGGTGTCCCTTTCTATCAGCTGTGCACCGTTATGGTGTAAATACAGCCTATCTACCAATTGGATCAAATATAAAAGTCAGCCGAATTAGTGTTGATACTGCAAAGAGACGTATTGTGTGAAAAGAAATGCAATATGTTGTTTAATAGCTGATATATTTATGATCCACGTCACGTTTTCAGTTTTAGCGGCAGTTCTTCCCGTTTGTCTAGAAGTCTTCTCATCAGGGCCTTATAAATAGAGAACTACGGCAGATATGTAATATTTAATGCAGCCGAACCGTGTATTACAATGCCGTTATGTGATGACCTCCTAAGAGAAAAGCAAGCACACTTGGAATAAAGTATTATTTTATTTTTTTTAAATGTTTTCGGATTTCACATCGCATAAACACCATCTCCTAACGTGCATTGCGACTAAACCATCCAATAGAGTGGCGAAGTCCCTCCC